AAAAAAAAAAAAAAAAAAAAAAGTATTATCGAATTGTTAATAGTAGAAATCAGTTAAAAAAATGAGAAAAAGATTGAAAATGCATTTTAAATAAAAAATAAGATTAAATATGAGCAAAATGGAACACTAAATCACAAATCATCACTTAATCCAAATGTATCTTTCCCTCTGAATGGATGTATCGGAAAATTTTCAATTTCGATCCGTTTAATTGTCTACAGTCTTTTTTAGTATACTAATTTTTCCTTCATCAATAATAATAAGTGTTATATTGCAATTTCTATCAATTTTGGAACATTAGACATCGAAACAGTACGTTATGTTGCAATTTAATTTGTATCATTTTTTAGACATTAATGCAAAAGAATAATGAAGCATATTCGTGATAATGTCCCAATAGCGACACAAATTACAACATAACGTACTATTATTGATAAAGAGAAAGATAGTGTACCAAAAAAGGATTTTAGACAAGTAAACGGACTAAAATCGAATTTTTGCCCGGATGTATTGTATTCGGTCAATGGCCATTTTAGTGGATCATTTTTTAAATTTTGTCAATATAATAAATTGAAATGAAAACATTATTACATTTTTTTTTTTTAAAAAAAACCATGGGAATCGAATAGCACAAACATACAAAAGCACTGACACAGTTAAGGAAAAAAATCCACATGAGAATTTACACATTTAAACAAAAAAAGATTAACAAGAAACATAATATATAAAAATAAAAATAAAATAATACAAACACTGGCATAAAATTAATAACACAAAAAACTACATAATAATATAGAATAAAAAAACCTCCCCATTCTTAAGCTAACTAGTCTTCTACCACAAACTCTGTGCCTGGTCACGGCCGGCTGCTAGAAGCTCCGGTCCCGACAAGGTAGAAAGCAGTACGAAAGTTTATTTAAGATGAAGTTAAAACGAAGAAAACGCAGCTTTTCAAGAAATATATTTCGACATCAATCACATAAATGTTTTCTGTAAAAACCGATATATAGATGCATGATTTCTAGTTTTATCATTCGCTAAATAATTTGAAATATGATTAATTAACATATAAAAGAACAAGAAACTCAAAATTTGTTTCTTCATAATTTGAAACATAATTAATTAACATATATAAGAACACAAAACTCAAAATTTGTTGGTAAAGTATAGGAATAAAATCATATGATTTTTTTTTTATTTTTTCCCAAATCATGGAAGCAATGTTGTAATGTTTAGGCAGTGGACATGGACCTAGCGTCCAGCCGTGGTCAAAAAAATATTAATAAATTTATTGATATTTATCATCATTCATAATTTATAAGATATATTATATAAAATATATTCATTAATATGATCGAAGACAAAGACTGCAATATCTTATGCCTTCATGATTATTTTATTAATTTGAAATAAATAATAATATTTTTATTATATAACTAATATAAATTTCATGCATAAAAAAATATTTATTATTTTTAAAATAAATTAATAATTTCGAAAACAAAATATACAAACAACTAGACGACGCAAAGACCGCCTACGCATCCGCCTAACTCACATAAGCGTAAATAGCTTGCCTAGTCCTTCTAGTTTCCGCCTACTCATTAGAGCTTCTAGAACGACCGCCTAAGCAAAAATTGTGGTGCCTAGACAAAATTTTAGTATAACTGAATTAAGATGACTATTATTTATCATAATATGGGAGATAGGGTGAATATAATAAAAAATGTATAGAGAGAGAGAGAAGAATTAATCATATCCGTTGGATGTGATATATCAGTGTTCCAAGTCCAACCAAATGCTCCAACACTAGTCAAAAAGGTGTTAATGTACTTGATATAGGGACAATAGATCTCATATTAGATTAGTATTTTAATTAGTTATCTTATATTAATTTATGTTATGATATGTAATGAACTTGGGCTTTAGCTTTTATATTAGTAGGCCAATATAGTTAGACTTTTGTAAGGAAATTCTATCAATAGGTGTAATGTAAAAATAAGGAGAAGAAGAAATATATCACAAAATCTATTTATGTCCTCAATTAATCTCTCCATTCTAATTCTCTGTCCTCCCCTCTCATGTGTTTTCCTTAGAGCTATCAATTTGTCGCCCCGCAAAAGAAGCGGGTTGGGTCGAGAATTTCTAAGCCCGTTGGGGAGCGGGCCTAAATAGGCCAGCTCGCGCGGGTCGCTGGCCAAGGCGGGGTGGGACGGGATAGCCCGCGGGCTGGTCCGCTAATTATATAAAACACATATAAATATAAAATAAGGCCTAAACCATTTTCCTCCTCATTCTCTCTCCCCAACATTTCTACCATTATTTCCATCAACCACATACATGTAATCACTAAAAAATCCAAAAAATTTCCACAAACTACAAAAAAATAAAGATAAAATTTCAAAAAACAGAATGACCATTACCATTGGTATCGAGACCAGTCAATCATTTGAAGATGGTCGATGAATTCATTCTCGATTGTTTAGAACAACAACAAAAAATCTCGTGTTGGAGACACGAGAAATGGACGAAATTAGGAAAAAAATCAATCACATTTGAGTAATTTTCTAGAGGGTTAAGATAGTATTTTTCCTTTATTTATGATTAATTAAACATTACATAAAAGTTATCCCACAACTTATCATACACAACAAATATGAATATACTTATTCAACCGGTGCAATCCATTACCTACACTATTTTAGTCCAATCACATCGTTCAAAGCAAACGAGCGATCACTAGAGGATGCTTAGATACAAGTTATCCTAAAAAATTCGATAATTTTTAACCAATCACTTTTTTTTTTAATTCAAATATAATTCAAATTTAACCTAATCGAATTATCTTCAATATTATCAATATAACTAAATAATATAAATCAATCATTCTTACACATTATATCAACTTTAATTTATTGTTCATCTAGTCACATCATTTTAACTAGTCATCACTTCACTTTATTTTTTTTATCAAATCAACTTTAATTATTTTATTTTAAATATTATTTTAATATAAAATCAAAATCTCACTACCACCTAACCATATATTTTAAATTGTACGAAATCAAACCAACAAATCCAATCAAAACCAAGAATCCTCATATCCAAGTGAAAGTTAAGAGTATGTCTCATGTATGTAGTTGATTCTGCTATCCCGTTATGAAACCATTCTGTCGGGTATGTAATCGTTATGATCTACCCGTTACAAATCCCGACGGAATGATTTCGTAATGAGACTATAGCATTTCTCCAAAATTTAATTGGGCTGCAACATAAATTAGTTGGCAAACCGTCTTGTTAAATTGAACACAATAAATCAACAACAACAAAAAACGGGTGGCTTCCTCTTTGGTATCATCGCCATTGCTGTCTTCTTTCAGAATTTCCCCTAATTTACCAACATTTTTCTCCTCTCTCTCTCTCTCTCTCTCTCTCTCTCTTGCAGGTTCAGTGCTTAGACAGAGGATTCAATGGCGACCATGTTGCGATCTGTTGGGGCCACATCAGGCTCATTCCCCTTTGCAGATCACTCCACCAAATCGTCTACATTCTTCGTTTGCCCTCTCCCAGGTCCTTCTTCACCTCTATGAATAAATTCGAGATCTTTCCGGAGTATTTGGAGATGTTAAATTACTATGGGTTGTTGCTAATGTGAATTTTGATTAGTAAAGGAACTAATCTTTGATTTATCTTATTTGAATTAGTGGGCTCATCTTGGATTGCTTGTTTCGTTCTCTAGCTTTGTTTCATGACCTAGCAAATTCGAAACATTGTCTTTAAGACCCGGTGATTGTCATACTTACCTGAATTGTTTGTTTGTTTGTTTTTTGGGCCTGTGTCATCAGTTATCAGAGCCGATAGAAGCTCGATTTCGAATCGGGTACATGGTACTCGCATGCCCGGGAAGCTCATTACGAAAGCTGTTGCGGTCAGTGCTCTAATTTGCCCTTTTAGTATGTTCTGTTAGTATTTCACTTAGTCTATTTGGTGGTGTTCTATTATGGGTGATGAACTTTGGTGTCCTTTGTGTTTCTCCAGACACAGGCTGAGAACTCTGCATCAGCAGCTTCGAAACCTGGGTACGGTTCCAAATTATCGTACTTTTTTGTTATGTTTGTGTGCAGCACTTCTGCCTTGTTAGGAATTTTACCTATCTGTTTGCTAGAATGTCCTTTTTGTTGGTGATCGATGTGATTCATAAGCATAAGCGTACAATGTCTATAGAGTGGCCTGTTCAATGCACCTCTGCCTGTATCAAGAGTGGGCCTGTTTTACCTATCTGATCACGGCCTGTTTTCTTTAAGTATATAATGCTCTTTTTAATCACCAAGGAATACATATGTGAGGTTGATTGTCCAAAGAGTACGACTGCCTTTGTATAGTGTGTGTTATAAAACAAAACTACCGTACAGTTCCTTAACTACCTCCAAGATAAATCTAAAATAAAATGGAGGAACTGATCTAGTAAGGTCTGTCGTACTTAGTTGAAAGCACATAGAAACTATCCTGTCATCTATCCGTATTTACTATTTACTACATTTTGTAATGTAGTTATAGAAATGATAGAATGAAAGGAAATTAAATGTAAGAATATTTTCGGGATATCAATATTGTTTGGGATTTCGACCGACTGATTCCCTTAGATGCTATGTATTACCTTTTGTTTCTTCTTACCATTTGTACTTGCAATAATTTAGATTATAATATAGGGTTGCCAGTGGCTTGAGTATGGATTAGCTTAGGCTTTTGGACAAGTTTATTCCATCTGGGAAGAAGTAAGAACATTTCTTGTTATCTTCTCTTTTCACCATAAATTTCCACTTTTCATCAGCAAAGTTCCCCTGATTCTTATATATCAAAAACCGAGAAGCATATTACGAGGAATACTATGCATAATCTCTTGACATTGCCTTTAGCCTTTTATAATTGGTCTCAGAGTTCAGCTAGTGCAGACCCATCAATCTGATAGCTGAAACATGAAAAACAATGTGACAATACAAAAGTCGGTATGGTTTACTGAACAATCTGACTACTGAATGGTGACTGCAATGTTCTGAAAACATAGTTTTGTATGGTTGATCTTATGGATTAGGGTGTTGACGTTTGTTTCAAAGAAAGCTGAGTTTTGTAATAAGTTCTTAAAACAAAATAAATAAATAAAAAAAAAAAATTCATATGCAACCACTTGAATGAAATCAACAGGCACGAGCTCCTTCTGTTCGAAGCCCTTCGGGAAGGCCTGGAGGAGGAAATGGACCGTGACCCTCGTGTCTGCGTGATGGGCGAGGACGTGGGCCACTACGGAGGCTCGTACAAGGTAACTAAAGGCCTTGCCGACAAGTTCGGCGATCTCCGTGTCCTCGACACTCCCATCGCCGAAAACTCCTTCACGGGCATGGCCGTGGGCGCCGCCATGACGGGCCTCAGGCCCGTCATCGAAGGCATGAACATGGGCTTCCTCCTCCTCGCCTTCAACCAAATCTCCGACAACTGCGGAATGCTCCACTACACGTCCGGCGGGCAGTTCACTATCCCCACCGTCATCCGCGGGCCCGGCGGCGTGGGCCGCCAGCTCGGCGCCGAGCACTCCCAACGTCTCGAGTCGTATTTCCAATCAATCCCGGGCATTCAAATGGTCGCGTGCTCCACACCGTACAACGCCAAGGGCCTCATGAAGGCCGCTATCCGAAGTGAAAACCCGGTCGTGCTTTTCGAGCACGTGCTCCTTTACAACCTCAAGGAGCGTATTCCGGACGAGGAGTACGTGCTCTCGCTCGAAGAGGCCGAGATGGTGAGGCCCGGGGAGGATGTCACTATACTGACTTATTCACGGATGAGGTACCACGTGATGCAAGCTGCAAAGACTTTGGTGAACAAGGGTTATGATCCGGAGGTGATTGATATCCGGTCGTTGAAGCCGTTTGATCTGTACACGATCGGGAATTCGGTGAAGAAGACGCATAGGGTGGTGATTGTGGAGGAGTGCATGAGGACGGGAGGGATTGGGGCGAGTCTGACGGCGGCCATAAACGAGAATTTTAACGACTATTTGGATGCGCCGATCGTGTGCCTGTCGTCTCAGGACGTGCCGACTCCGTATGCGGGGACGTTGGAGGAGTGGACGGTGGTTCAGCCGCCGCAGATTGTGGCGGCTGTTGAGCAGCTGTGTCAGTAGCCTCTAGTTAAGGTCTGGTTTGAATCTTTCAGTTTAATTGTTTGTCCTTTTTTTTTTGGGAGTATTTCCTGGGCACAGTTTGTTATGGAGACTGAGTGTGATTCTGCTAATGATTTGTTGTTACAGATCGAGCCATGTACGAGTTTTTGTGTGATGATTCGTGTTTTTTTATGCGCAAGTGCTTCGGAGTTATGCGCCTGTTAGTCTGTGACCATTTAGTACTGTGTTGCAACAAACTGAAATTGTAACTTTTAGCAGATAAGATAATAAAGTTCAGATGAAGTTTTGTATTTGGGATAAACTGAACAACATTGGGTGTGATATTTGATTTTTGTTTTTTGTTTTTATCTGGATGAGCTCCCACTCGGTGCTTTGTTGTTTCAGAAATGTTATTTATTTATTTATTAGAATGTTATACTTTTTATAAAATAGTATAAATAAAAATATATCATTTAATAATAAATTAATAGGGATATCTATATCTATATAAAGGGATATAAAAATAGTAGGAAAAAAATAAGTCAGCATTTAATGCAACTCATAAATAGTAGTTTTACTATTTTTCTTATTTTTTTTCTTTAAAAATCATATAATTTAATTTATAAATACGCTTTAATATAATCATACAATTTAATCATATTATTTTTTCTTTGATATTTATATATATATTATATAGTACTTTTTGTAATAAATTTAAATAAAATGTGTTACTTCAATATTTAAACAATTTAAAAATTTCAAATATTTAAACTAATTGATAAACAATTTATAAATCTCTATTTTATTTAAATATGTAATTTTATTTAAAATAATTTTAAATGTAGCAAAATTTATTTATAAAATCGTATTGATTCTACCAGTTCAACCGACTGATGTTGACAGGTTCAATAGTAAATATTTTATTCAAACGAACTAGTCTGGCTATAAACCGCTTCTCGATCCATCCAGTCGGACTGTGTCAAACACTGTTAATTTAAAAACGAGGTGTAAATTTTAATTAATTTATTTTTATGTTTAATTTATAACACAATCGTAATATTGTTTTCCCGTGCATCGCACCGATCACACACTAATAAATATAAAAGAGCTATAACTAATCAATTTACCTAAATTATACCTTTTTTTTTTTCAGAACAATAATAATCACATATTCACAACACAAAACAAGACTAGAGAACAACTACTCAGTCGAATAAAATTGGCAACGGCCGGATAAGCTGAATAGCTGGCTCTAATAGGGAGGACTACACGTCGACGACAACCTTGAGTCAACCTACAACACAAAACACAACTAAAAGACTAGCAAATGAATAATGAATAAAAGTTCCCAACAGGAGAATACACCAAATACATTCCAACGAGAGAGAAAAAATAAAACACAAACGAAACAAAACACATCACACAAACACTAATAAAACAACCTAAACACAAACAAACCACCCCTTCCCACAGCCGGCAGAAAACTAAGGGGGTGATTGTTTATGAATTTGACTAGTTTTTAATTGGTGTTTTTTTAACTATAGTTGAGTTTGAAAAAAGTTGGTATGATTAGTTGATAGTGGATATATTAAAATAATAATTTAAAATAAAATAATTAAAATTGATATGATGAAAAGTAAGAGAAAAATGATTGGAAGTGATGGTTAGTTAAAATTATGTGAGTGGATGAATAGTGAACTAAAGTTGATGTGATGTGTAAAAATGATTGGTTGAATGATTGGTTGACATTATTTAGTTATATTAATAATATTGAAGATAATGGGATTGGTTAAAGTTGAGTTAAATTTGAGTTTTGATTGGTTTTTTTTGAGTTGGGATGATAAACAATTACCCCCTAAGAGTCTTTCAGCAACCCCATAGCCGATCACCTCCCGATTCGAATCAGGCCCCGGAAATCCGCTCCAGAAATGGCCTATTGCCTAACTGGACCCGCACCCTAAGAACACGACCCGTAATTAGGCTATCTGCCACCGCCTGCAGCCAGAGGAAAAACCGGCTAGCCCCTCCCCCCTCACTCCAATCCCAGTCAACACTACTGGCAGAAATCGGAGGCGCTGGCCAACCATCAATCCTGAGCACCAAGGAAAAAGA